CCCTGACACGACTTCTGTTGTGACTTGGTGCTGTACAAATAAACTGAACTGAATTAAATCTGATGAACCAGATTCTACAAAAACATTTATATTTAAATCTATAAAAGTTAAGTCTGGTCCTCTGGACGTTCAAATAATAATAATAATAATAATAATAAACTTTATTACTATAGCACCTTCCAACAACGCCTTGCATTGACCAAGGTGCTTCACAAGACAAAACAAGATTAAAAACAGGACACAATAAATCAGTGCAAAAACAAACAAACAAAAACAAAAAGTAGAAACGTTTCTTCTTTCATCCAAAAGACTTCTTCAGTCTGAGGTGCTGTATTCAGCTCATAGTTATTTATATAAGACTGAGCTGAATAAGCTCCTCAGACTGAGGAAGTCATTTGGATGAAAGAAGAAACATTTCTACTTTTTTTTATTTGTTTTTGAACGTCCAGAGGACCAGACTTAATTTTTTTAGATGTTTCTACCTGGATTATTGAGCAGCATCAGGATATCTATATTTAAAATTCTATATTTTTCTTCATCATTTGATGTATTTGCACTTATTGTGTCTTTGTTTCTTGTATACAGATTATTTTTTCTTGTATACAGATTATTTTTAGCTTTGAATTAAAGTTTATCTTTGATTTAAAGCTTTAATTTAAAGCGTAATGCTTGTTTAGTGATTTGTTCATCTGTGGGTTGGAATAAAGTTGAACCAAAGGCTGCGTCTCTTCTTTAAACATGTTGGAGGGAAATATTCCTGAGAGATTCAATAATTTAGTCTTTTTATAATTTTTCAGTTGAATTAACTTTAACAGATTATTTAATAAAGTCAAAGGGAAAACAGGATTTCATGATAAAGCCGGCACCGTTTATTTATTTTTAATCTTCACTGATAAAAAAAACATATTTTATACATAAAATGTAAAAAAAAAAAAAAAACGTGTCCACCCCCCGTCCCTCCATCCCGGTCCTCCCGCCTGCCAGGGCTCGAATCCGGCCTTTGTGAGCAGGCGAGGCCGGGGCTCGGGGTCCGGCCTCGCGGGCTTCAACGTCTCGGCAGCTCGTATGATCCTCCGCGGTGACTCCGCTCGCTCCAATTTATAGTCCGTCACCAAACACAAAAAACGCCTGGACTTCAGAATTAAACACGGCGTTGTCATTATTGTTTTTAAAATCTTAAAAATAGATCCAGCCGCTGCTCCGCATCCAGAGAAATTGCAAATGGCGGCTCAGTGAAAAGTTTCTGAGATCCAGTGACTCCTCCCCCTGACCAATCAGATCCAGTGACTCCTCCCCCTGACCAATCAGATCCAGTGACTCCTCCCCCTGACCAATCAGAGTCCTGCATTCACGTTTCGGTCTGGACTCAGCTCGGCTGAGCTCGCTCGGTCCCACCAGAGAAGCAGGGACGAAAAGAGTTCCTGACTCAGCCTCAAATCAGCTAAAAATACTAAAGTACTGGTGCAAAAGGTTCTTTCTGTGGCGGGCTAAACGGAGTTGGGGCTGATTAGGGGCGGTGCAAAAGGGGCAATGGTCAGGGCCCCCCGCTGACCCCCCATCAGCCCCTGTCTCACACTCACAGCCCCATCATGTCATGTTTTTGGCTCCTTTTTTGTCATGCTGTTTTTCTTTTCTGTCATTAGCCACGCCCCCCTCTGCACTTTCAACTCATCTGATTCACTGCACCTGTTCTTTGCTTATTTAAAGAGTTCCACTTTCACTTGTCCTTTGCCAAATTATTACACCACTCATGGTCCCTGATAGTTTTGACTCCTCGCCTTGTCTTGCCCCTTCTGGATTTGTCTGCATATCTGACCACGGTAACGACTCTTGCTCTCCTTTGACTACTCTTTTGGATCATGACTCGGACCTGTTCTTGCTTTTCTGCTTCTACGTGCTTGACCCCCGCTACGACCATTGGACCACGCCTCTGGATTTCACCTGCCACGTACAGACTGAGAAGATTAGTGACTTTAACCATTATAACAGTATCCCCTGGTCCTCACCAAGTCACTAACCTCTCTGTCTTTTAAGATTGGACTCCTGCCTTGGACCCTGACTCCAGCAACAAGCAGCATAATAAATAAAAAATTTTCTTGTTTTTGCACTCCTGTGTCTGGCTTATTCTGAATCCTAAACCCTGGTCCGTGACATGTTGGGTGAATAACGACATGTTAAAAGTTAACCCCGTGTCTGATCATGGTGTGACACATTTCTTACGAAGCTTTAAATTTCATCTCAGACAGGAGGATTTCTTGTCAAAGGTTGGGAGGAACGGTTTTAAAGCCAAAGTAATCAGTAACTTTATCTTTTTGGCCACAAACAGCTGACTTCTACAGCTGTGCACAGTTGTTAGGGGTAGATGTGGCTGAGAGGTTAGAGCAGTCGTCCTCCAATACAAGAGTAGGGGGTTCGATTCCAACAGCAGTACAATGTTAAAGTGCCACTGGGCAAGACACTGAACCCCTCATAGACTCTGACGCGTTTCATCCATGTATGAATGTGATAAAGCTCTGAATATTCTCTACAGATTAAGATTATCTTTGTAGAAATGTAGTAGAGTGCTGTATGAATGTGTGTGTAGACATCAGACTATAACCACAGAGGATCGTCGGGCGTCCAACAGGTATGACTCATGCCACGTTTGGTGCAATTTGGTATTTCAATGTGAAAGTTACAGCGTTTGAAAATTGTGGTGTGAAGGGCAACTTTGAGGCTTGGCCACGCCCCTTTAGCATATCCGAAAACTCAAGATGTTGATAAATTTTACTCCCCAAGGCCTTAACAACCAAGTTTGAAGCCAATCACTTAAAATCCCTTAGAGAAGTTTGTTAAAATTCATCATGAATGAAAACTGAAAAACTCCCTAAAATGACCCATCCATCCATTATCTTTAACCCGTTTATTCCATTTTGGGTCACGGGGGTCGCTGGTGCCCATGTCCAGCAGTCACTGTGCGAGGGGCGGGGTACACCCTGGACAGGTCTCCAGTCCATCACAGGGACACATAGAGACAAACGAGACAAACAACCATTCACTCTCTCTCTCTCACCTAGGGACAATTTAGAGTCACCAATCAGTCTAACATGCATGTTTTTGGTCTGTGGGAGGAAAATGGAGCACCCGGAGAAAACCCACGCATGAACGGACAGAACATGCAAACTCCACCCAGAAAGGCCCCCAGGCCGGGATTTGAACCAGGGACCTGCTCACTGAGAGGCAGCAGCTCTACAAGTTGCGCCACCGTGCTGCCCTCCTAAAATGACCCTTTGAACCAAAATGCAAAATGGCCGACTTCCTGTTGGGTTTGGACCAGAGCTCAAAGAGACTTTTACATAGATCCTGAGAAAATACAGATGTTCACCGAGTTTAGGAATTATTTGTCAAAAAATGGCTTCGGGCTGAAGTTTAAAAATATTCTAGGGGGCGCTGTGAAGGCTATTGGCCAATTATCATGGATTCCTGTTAAAGGGATGGATATTGATCGATCATACTGATCTTGGTGCACCTCGGCTCAAATTTGTGGAATTTAGAGCCAAACGTATGGCCACGACGTTAAGTTTTACTTCGCCACGCCGCGACGTCCACATGCACCACTGAAAACTGTCAATGTTGGAAACCCTTTTACACCAACATGTCTTCGGTCACTGGACACACTATCATGTTGATCAGGTCACAGGGGTCAGATAGAGACTGTTCAACATAAAACTTTACACTTCCTATTCTCAGGGGGCGTGGCTTAAGTGATGTCATGATTTGACCATTCAGTCTTGCAGGGGACCGGATGTGGATCAATCACTGAAGGTTTCATGTCTCAGACAGTTTTCCTGTAGGAGCTCTTAGCGTTTCGTTGTTCATGGCGAAATGTCAAACTTTGAGGTCTGGCCCCGCCCCTTCAGCATGATCGAAAACGCACCGTTTTGATAATTTTTTGTCCCCCATGTCTTTTGAACAAAATGGCCATGTTTGAAACCGATTGAGCAAAATCCCTAGGAGGAGTTTATTCAAATGCAGAGGCTGTAAACTGGCAAAAAGGTGTGATAATTGGAAACTCATTCCAAAATGGCCGCCTTCCTGTTTATTGTACAGCATTGGTGCCAGAGGGTTTTCTGTGCATCTTGGGGAGTTGGACAAGTGTACCAAATTTCATGCTCCTACGAGAAAGTAAGATTAAGGCGGAGGGTAGTTAGAAAATTTCCAGGTGGCGCTGTTGAGCCGTTTCTGTTGCAATTTTTGCGACACCCTTAAAATAATTAATTAATAATTCAAATAAATAATTTTCACTCAGTCTTGATGCGACCGCCCAATTTGGTGAGCTGTCAGATATGTTTAGGCCTCCAAAAGGCCAACTCTAATGGAAAAACTGTTGCACGGGCCTAATGGACAGAGCGATTACAATAGGCCTTGGCAGCGCTTTGCTGCTCGGCCTAATAATAAACACACCACCGCAGATGTAACTCACTCCTTCCAACATTCTGTTTCAGAAATATAATTTCCAGCGTAATACTGTAGAAAAGCCAGTGGTTGTTCTCAGTGGTGTAGTCTGTGTGATACATGAGCATAAGGAGTATACCCACTAGAAAAGCTTTAGAATTTCAGTATACCCACTTAAGAGTGCCATATGATACATGACATATTAGACACATGTCACTGATATGTTAAACGCTTCTGTAACAATCTATATGTATGCAGCGCTCGTTTATTACATTCGCCTGTCCAGTAAATTATTGTATAATTCTGTACTTACTACTTAATACTTGCACATGTTTTGCTTTGATATTGTTTTATAAATTCTATAACATGTTTTTAATACAAAGCCAACTGTTGTACAAAGTTAGTTGTATATTTATTCAAATATAAACATCAGAGAAATTTGGAAATGTTCAATATGCTTAAAAATCTAAATATATTGACAATTGAATTGTACTAACTGGTGTACTTTGGTTTCTAAGCCCAGTATACCCAGTACAAAAATGTAGAGTACACCGCTGGCTGTTTACCTGTGAGCATTTTCCATGGCTGCAACCTCAGCAAGAGCAGTCAAGCTGAAGAAGGCAGGTAGCTCTGGTGCTACGGTGCTCCTCCCAGCATCCTCTGCTCCTGGACTGCTACTACCACTGTAGCACCTTGTTTCATTGCATAAATTCTGTTGGGTTAATGGCTTCTCATCCTGTTCCTGGTTAGGGTCGCGAGTTTTATCCTCTGTAGCTCCTCCTGCACAAATAACCACAAACATACAATTCACAGGAACATGATTAAACGTTAGCAAAGCTTTTTTTTCTGGTATTTATTCTTTGAAACAAACAGGAAAAATAAGTAAAAATTTTCATACGTCCTGAGTGTAACGGTACTATATTTATGTTATAACGTAACTTTCTGCACACACGCTTTGATGGTTGGTTACATAACTTTGAACAAGTCCAAACAAAGAGCATTGTTTCTCTTGATCATTCAAACTTGCATTAGCTTTCAAATATTATGTTTGTGAATGAATACAGTGCTGTGGAAAAAGTACTGTAATTTCCAGACTACTGAGCACCCTAAGACACGCCCACTAAATAAAAAAATAAAAAAATTACCATACCATACCATTTTATTTATAGAGCACTTAAAACAGCAACAAGACCAACCAAAGTGCTGTACAGACAGAACAACAGGTAACACACAAAGCAAAATACAAAATGAGGTAAATCAGAATATAGACATAAAAACGATGCAGATCATGACAAACCAGTGTGGAGCATACAGGATCAAAACACAGATCATCTGGTGTTGAAAGCTACTGAATAGTAGTGAGTTTTTAAACGGGACTTGAAAACCGAGAGGGAGGGGCCTGTCTGACAAGCAGAGGTAACTCATTCCAAAGTCTTGGTCCTGCTACAGAGAAGGCCCTGTCACCTCTGCGCTTAAGACGAGTTCCTGGAACTGTGAGGAGCAACTGGTCCGCTGACCTCAGGGAACGTGGTGGGACATACGGTTGTAGCAGATCAGAGAGATTGGGGGGGGGGCACTGTTCAGTGATTTGTAGACATACAGGAGTACTTTGAACTGGATTCGAAGGTGAACCAGTAACCAGTGCAGTGAGGCCAAAACTGGTGTAATGTGCTCTCTTTTGCCTGTACTGGTTAAAATGGGGCTGCTGCATTCTGGACCAGTTGTAGTCGTGCAATGGAGGTCTGACTGATACCAAACAGGAGTGAATTGCAGTAATCAAGCCTAGATGTAATGAATGCATGTATTACTGTCTCCAGGTTCTTTTTGGACAATATGTGCTTCAGTTTAGACAGCCGCCTCAGTTGGAAGAAGCATGACTTAACAATCAGGTTTACATGATTGTTAAGTTTCAGGGAAGGGTCCATTATCACTCCCAGATTAGTGACTCTTTGTTTTTCTGACAGGGTTAGAGCGGAGAGGTCGATGCAGTGGTTTGTGATCGTGTCATTGGGAGGGAACAACATGACTTCAGACTTCTTTTCATTGAAACTCAAGAAGTTTAAAGCCATCCAGTCCCTTATGTCAGCCAGGCAGTCGAGCAGCGGTTGAATAGAGCATGTACCATTGTGTCTTAGGGGGAAGTAAATTTAACAGTCATCGGCATAGAAGTGGAAGGGCATGTTGTGTTTCCGGAAAATAGCACCAAGTGGCAGCAGGTATAGAGAGAATAGGAGGGGACCCAGTATGGACCCCTGCGGAACTCCCCATTTAAGCTCTACTTCTGTGGAACTAAAATCCTTGATGGAGACACAAAAGGATCTGTCAGCGAGGTAAGATCTGAACCAATTGAGGGATGATCCTGTGACGCCCACCCACTGCTCCAACCTAGCAATGAGGATCTCATGGTCGATGGTGTCAAAGGCGGCTGTGAGGTCCAACAGGACAAGCAGCACAGAATCACCGGTATCTGTGAATCTGAAGATGTCGTTAAAGACCTTCAGCAGGGCAGTTTCAGTGCTGTGGAGAGGTTTAAAGCCAGATTGGAAAAGCTCTAAGATGGCGTGATCCTCCAGGAAGCACTTCAACTGGGACTCGACTATTTTCTCCAGTACTTTAGAAACAAATGGGAGTTTGGAGACAGGCCGGAAGTTGGACACGACTGAGGGGTCAAGGTTTGTTTTTTTCAGGAGCGGCTGGACAGCAGCACGTTTAAAGGTTTTTGGCACCACGCCAGTGCATAAACTACTGTTTACTATGGCAACAATGGACGGACCTAGAGTTGGAAACACCTCCTTTAGTAGTTGAGGGGGGACCACATCAAAGGGGGAACCAGAAGGTTTCAAGCTGCACATGACCTGCTCTAGAGAAGATACAGTGATGGGTTCAAAATGGTCAAAAGGAGCTACAGATTGAGGTGGGATGGATGGGTCATGAGTTGGAGGGGAAATGAGAGCCCGGGTGGTCGCAATTTGTTCCAAAAAGAAATGTAAGAAGTTGTAAGAAAAATTGTACATATATAGGCTGCGCTTGTGTATAAGTCGTGGGTGTCCACATTGTAACATGATATTTTCACAGAAAGACTTTTTAAACTTTTAATTAAATACGTACCGATAACATATACAACCACGCATGTTTTATTTTTTGAAAAGTGCCAGTAACACAGCTTGTGAAAATATAAAAATAAATAAATACAGTAGCCTAAGAGGAAAAGTCACTGATCGCTACGTTCCATGAGACACCTTTTCGTCATATAAATGTGAGACACCACGATGGTCCACCTCTAAAACCTTCAAGCTTGTTTTCAGTTCCTTTGGCTTTCAATCAGATGTGCACGGTGGAAAGTGCTTGGCCGTGTCTCTCCTTGTGCTCACCCAGTCTTCAAGAAGGTTTTCAAGTTTGGGCCGTCTGCTTGTTGTTTTTCCCTCTGAAAGCTTTTGGCATCTTTTTGCTTTGGATCAGTTCTCCACACGGCTGTCTCCAGTGCCTCACCATCACGGACACCCCGCCCACGTGCAGCAGCTCCATTTCATTCTTGAACAGCCACATACACTGAACTTCATTGATCCCGCAGGAAACTGTTGTGTCAGAGTTTCAGTCGATTGCCTTTAACTTGAAAGATGCATCCCATGCATTTGTTTGTGTGTTTTCCATGATGAGGGTGTGTGCATGAAGCACAAAATGAAGAATTTAATGTGTGCACGTTTGATTTACGGTCATTTGAAGTTTCACTGGTCAGAATGATTTTTTAAATATTTTTATACTTACTGTGATGAGGCTAAATGTTTTGGTGGCAGGAAGCTCGTTAGCCCGTCCCAAAAAAAGAACATAAATTAAATTAAATAAGCTGCACACGCTGCACACGCTGCAGGGTTCACAGCGTGTGGAAACAAGTAGCGGCTTACAGCCTGGAAATGACGGTATATGAACGAGTACAGTCTATTTTCAGTTTCTGTTGCACCTACAAGTTTCAGATCAGCAAACAAATGGTACAATCAGGCAAAGTTGATCTGAGTAAATAGGAAGTGTCATTTTTGAATGGTTTTATTTATTAAGGTAAAAAGCTATCCAAACCACGCTGGCCCCATGTGCCTCCTCTTTCACGTTGACACAATGTTTTAGTTTAATCGATGAGTGTGCTCATTGATCCTGACCCTCATTTTGATTTTAAAAAATCAGCACAAATTGTTTTATTCATTTTTGTTTTGTAGGTCAAAGTGTTTTGTATAATAACTCTCATGATTTAAAATGTTGCTGATCAATTTGATTATTATTTTTGTCATTTTCTCTAGTAATTTAATTTCCTCTATGCGTCTCGGGGTCGGGGCGTGCCGTCATGTGACGTTCAGTCACGTTATCATCACCTGTGAAACCTGACACCACGCCACGACAGAACCAAACAATGGAGCGAGGAGGAAGATGAACATTTTGTAGCAGGAAATACAGGAACTATTTTGAGTTTCTGTCAGTGAAGAATGACAATTTCAAGGTTCGTTGTTCCCGTTGTGCTGGTGAGAAAGAGCTGTCTAGCTTCAAAACACCCCATCAGACCTGAAGCAACATTTAGAGTCGCAGCACGGACGGTCACTGATGGAGCCAGTGGTTCAAACAGGCCTTAAAGTGAAAAAACATCCTGAGCCTGAAACTTTTTTGTGGTGGTGATAGAATAAAATCATGACATACTGCCAACGTTTATTAAAAATGCTCTCTGAAAAGTGCAAAGAACTGCTTTTAACAACAAACAATTCAATTCAATTCAATTCAAAAATACTTTATTAACCCCAAAGGGAAATTAATTGTTGTTGTAGCTCATCTTGTTTCATTAGAGTTGTTCTAGATGCTGATGGTTTTGGGCAGGAAGGATCTCTTGTAGCAGCCTGTCCCACAGCGGATCCCAAGAAACTGGCTGCAGATGCTGATATGTCCACCCAGACCCAGCAGACCTCTCGTCTTCTTGGGCAGCAGGACTGCCTGAATGCCAGGCAGAACTCCTCCCTGAACGAAGGCCATTTCTCCCAGCAGCCTGCTGAGCCCCTCATCACCGCAGACTTAACTGCAGGTGCCAGGGGACGATCTCGGTCCTCCCGCTGTCACGGGCTGTGTTTCCCGCTACCTCCAAGATCTCGGCAGTCAGGCACTCGAGCACAGCCTCCAGGTAGGCGATAATGCATCCATGGCCCCTCCTTTTCAACTCATTTGGGATTTGGGGCTGTAGTTGAGGTCTTATTTGATATGTTCAGATGTTAATCAGCAGCTCCCAGTTGTAGAAAACCACCTTGTTGTTATGGTAACGCATCATAACAAATGTCCAAAAAAAAAAGTTTCAGTAAAAGTCCTTCCAGAAGCACAGCATCTGATATCAGAGGAAGCAATCATCCGAAAAAAGCAATTTACATTCAAAACCTATTAAGATTTTCAAAAGCAAAATCTCAGAATAAGTACTAATAAGTCAAGTAACAATGACTTAAATGAGGTTTCAATATATTTGAACTTAACAAAGTATGTGCCCCAGAGAACAGCCCCACAGCAAAAAAACTTGGACTCATCGTCACCACATCGAACAGACACATTTCAGTCAATTAATTTGTAATAAGTTTAGAATAATCAATATCACAATCTAAAAGGAAGACGTTCCACAGAGCTGGTTCTAGGACTCCCAGTCTTCTAAATAATTTTCAAAATAGGAGGCTGGAGTTATTTCTCAGCATCAACACAAAGATGTTCTGTGCATTGAAAATGTTTGGTGAACACAGACTGTTAAAGCACTGAAGTTTCAAGTTGTGTGTATTTGTCATGTGCAGGTAAACACAGGGTTAACAGTACAAAGAAATGCTCAGGATGAGAAGAACTGATGTGACTCACTAAAAATCCCCAAAACAAACCAACAAAAAAATACAAAAAGCATGCAATAAGGGTACACAACAAAAGTACCAAAAAGTGAAAAAGTAATTAAAATAGTTACATTGTCTTAAGAGAGATATTGAACAACAACATGGTAGAATATAATGATGCAGCAGGATGAATTTGAATGAATAAGTATTTCGAGGTAGTAATATAAGCTAAAATGCACAATACACACACACACACACACACACACATATATATATATAAGTTACTTTATCAAGGAGTAATCAGCAATCTGTTTAAAGTTACTTTTTCAATGTAACTATGCCAACACAGATATCACTGCAAGAGGTGGGGGACACCTGGACAGGTCTCCAGTCCATCACAGGGACACAGAGACAAACAAGAAAAAAACATTCTCTCTCTCTCACTCTCTCTCTCTCTCTCACTCTCTCTCTCTCTCTCTCTCTCTCTCTC